AGTGTGTAGATAGAGTCGTCCCCCTCGGATTTTCCAGAGAAAAATTCCCGAATTTGAGAAAAGTAAAGATTGGATTCACTCAGTCTATTGCTACTACTCCGAGACTGAATAAAATTTTCGTCAATTTCCTAATTTTCCGGCAGATTTTTTAGGTTTTCCACAGAAAAAAACCATGAGACAAATTTACTCATCGCTGAGTTCCTGCAATTTTGGCGATTATGAGTGAACTAAACTAAAATTTGAGTTGTTCTCATTCGCCGTGTAGTCATCTCAGAGAGAAAGCAGTACACGCTATTTCAAAACTACCCAAATTTGGGTAGAATCTACCCAGATCTGTCAAAACTGAACCTACCCAAAAATGGGTAAGCTGTGTTGGGAGTGACAAGTTGACAAATGAACAACATTGATATGAATCCGATCGACGTTGTTCATTTGTCAACTTGTCACTCAAAACACAGTTTACCCATTTTTGGGTAGGCTCAGTTTTGACGGATCTGAGTGAATTCTACCCTGGGTAGTTTTGAAATAGCGTGTAGGGTGTAGTGCTGTGACGATATCGATAAGTCCGATATTATCGATAAATATCGGGTATAAATTATCGATATGATCCGATATTTAAGGATCCGATATCAACGATAATCGAAATTCGATATCGGTCAGATGTTAATAATCATCAACATGGTTCTTTCTCCAGTTGACGAAGAATTTGTTCGTGACGAGCCATTGAGAAAGATCTCTACCGCTAATTTGGTATGGAGTTATCACGAGGGAATGGATCAACGCAATAACAACCGAAGTGGACAGCTCACTTCGTACATAAAATGATATGTAGGTACGGAAGGAGTGGTATCGAACTAATGACATGTGTTATTTAACGGTACTTATCTTACTGAGGACAAATAAGAAGAGTACATTTCGATATTTGTTGGCTCTGAAACTTCTGTCTAATATTACAACCTCGGTCCCTTGAGAGCGTCTGGTTTCGAAAACACGGCGAATACTGTACGATGTAGGCTCGAAGAGTGGACAGAATATTTTTGTTTGTGTAATGTCGATGTTTTTGATATTCCAAATGCATTATGAAGTTGGAAGAGAATGAAATATGTTTAATGTATTTTCCATTGAATATTTGATATCGGATCCGATATCGATACTCAAAATCGGATATCGAAATAATATCGATATACTCAGAGACCGATATCGATATTATCGTTAAATACGACCTAGTCACAGCACTAGTAGGGTGGTTGTTGTGTACTGTACCATCATCAGCATTGTTGACGGCTACTCCCGCCTTAAGTTGTTACATTAAAGTATTTTTTTTTACTTGTATGAAGTAACAAAAAACACTCTGAATGTTTTAAATATTTGCTTATTCTTTTCAAGCATGTAAAACTTACTGAAAATAAATTAATGTTTAAAAATCGAATCACTTTTGGACTCTTGATGATTGTCTATGGGGTAACGCCTAAAGGTATGCAACGTTTAATATAAATTAGCTGCTGCGTATTTTTTTATGGATGAGCAGTAATTAGATACAAAGTGTGCAATAATAGATGCAAATTGAGCTTTGAGGCTCATTCAAATTTTTATTAGATGGAATATAAATTGCTAATGAACTCTGGAAATGCCTCATGAATCACATTCAAACATTTCTTGAGGAATTCCGTGTTCAATCTCGTAAAAACGTAAAGTAACAAAAAGCACGGGCTTAGTTGTGTAACAATTGGCAAAATACGCTAGTTGTGTTTCAATGAGCAGCATGAAATTACTGTCTGTTCTGTATCACTCTTTGCATATTGATCTCATACTCTGAATCAAAAATTCGCTAAGATGATTCCAAGTTCGTTCCTTAGCGTCAGTATTATCTTGAAATCATTAAATAAGAGAAAATAATAATCCCACGTGCTGAATTTCAGTTTGATGTTTCAAATTCAAACCATTGGGCTGATTGGTGGCTACCAGAAAGGCTAAGCTACACATCTAATTAAAATCGAAGATTTCCGTATGACGATAAATTTCGATGATCTATTGTGGCATAAAATGTCTCTTGCAAAACTATTGCAATTTCCTTTCGAGTCGAATAAAATCTCTTCAGTATAGCACCACGACTAAATACATCAACTTAAATGTAATATACCAAATCGCCATCAACAGTATGTGAAGATGGTTAAGTCCTCTGACGTTCATTACAAAGATTTTCTTAAACGAAAATTAATTAACGTAGCCATGCTGGTTCAGTTTGCCAATTACTTTCTTCCTTCAAAACAATTACCGTTTTGAAAAATGCCTAAACCGCTAGAAACTTTTGAATCCTTATTTTTGACACATTCTGGACTGGATTTTCACAAAAGCAAAAACATGGTGGATAAAGGAACTCATAAGCTGTACAATCCGCAGGCCTAGGTACGAGTATTTTTTTCTAAACTCATCGCGGACCGGACTAAACAAGGCCACGCGCCGTACTTTTGGCTGGTCCGGCCCAAGATCTCAATTTCATTTTCAAACTAAGTACAGACAAGATTCCTACAGTACGGTTAATATGGATCGTATTATTGCATTGTTGACGGTTACTCCCGCCTTAAGTTGAAATCAGAATCACCTTGGAATTTTATTCAAAATTAACATAACGTTCTCTTCACAATTCTTCTAAGAATAACTTGGAGGGGAAGGAGTCCATTAGTACCGTCCCAATGACGCGTTCATCTAAATAACGATGAGAGCGATGGACCCAATCTTAGATCCTTAGGCCAACATTAGAGCCATTTCCCCTACATTAGGACTCATTTGGAATTAATTTCAGGATTCCCAAGGGATTAACTTAAAAATTAGCTTGGAATTCTGATCTTAATTCCGTTGGAATTTTATCCATTTATCCCTTAGATATTGGAACTGAAAGTTCTTTTTAATTTCCTTCAAATTTGCTTATCTAATATTCTAGGGCTGATATATTTTTAAATCTTAATAGTTTGATATTTTTCGAGGTTGCTTCGACTTACTTCGCACTGATGGCAACTATGCCTTTGGTGATTTTCCTTGTTAAAGAGTTGTTTGGATTTACCTTGTTTACTTGAATCTAGGGTTATTAGTTCGGTAGGTTCCGATTCTGTATTTTTTTTCCTTGATTTGTTTTCCGTTGATCTTGTTTTCCGTGCTGAGCACCAATTCTACCGACGCCAGGGAGGCAGCTTCCACACCTGGACCCTACCTATCGACCCATCAATTCATGAACCGGGGACCAACGGCTTTACTTCCATTCCGAAGGAAGGCGTGATCAGAGATGTTATGCCTCAGAACATCCCGGCGGCGTCGACTGGGATTGAACCCAGGCTTGCTGGGGTGAGAGGTAATCACGCTTACCACTACACCACCGGTGCCGCTTAACCGATTCTGTACGTTGTAGTTTCATTTTTATAGACTGCCCATTGTGGTTGAACAAGCATTAAGCAAGTTGCACAAAGTCATAGTTGGTACAGTTCTCTATGGTCTAAAGCGACGACTTCTACCTTTAGCGAAAATGCCTGTGTCTTTGGCGAACAATGATTTGTGGCAACCCTGATGCAAATCAGAAAAGTCTGAAGTGAAAATGTTATTCAATATCGGCCCAAGAATGCTAAAGTTAGGAACACCAGCTCTTGAAGGTAGTCGATTAGATTTGGAATTCTGATAGGGTAAAAGCTCCTATAGTTGCGGTGCGTTAGAAGCGTTAGGTTCCTATAGTTGTGTATTGAATCTCCATACACAACTATAGAAACCTAACGCTTCTAACGTACCGCAACTATAGGAGCGTTTCCCCTAATGCACCTACATTATTCTGCCAGTTAAACAAATATGAACCAATTTCATAATATAGAGTGGAACATTAAACTTTATCAATTTGGCATCAAACATTCATGCCAAACAACAATTTTCTCAAACCGGTTGACGTAACTGCTATAGGACTCATTTTAGTCACAATCAAGTTGCTGCAACTTCGACTGACAGATGAGTGCTGCTTGGGAATTTTTAATGTTTTTTCTATGTCTACAAGAGCAGCGCCAGTTACGTGATTACCTCTCACCCCAGCAGGCATGGGTTCAATCCCAGTTGGCGCCGCCGGGATGTTCTGAGGCATAACATCTCTGATCACGCCTTCCTTCGGATGGGAAGTAAAGCCGTTGGTCCCCGGTTCATGAGTTGATGGGTCGATAGGTAGGGTCCAGGTGTGGGAGCTGCCTTCCTGGCACGTCGGTAGCATTGGTGCTCAGGACGGAAAACAAGATCGACGGAAAAACAAACCAAAGGAAAAAAAAAAGCAGCGCCAGTTATGCAGACTTCAGATTTGTTAGATCGAATTAAATTAGTCACTCATAAAAGTTGATGAGTTTCGGAATATTTATTCAATTCAAACGAGCCTTATAACTATGTTGCATATATTTTAAGATTTGATCTTATTTATTTATTTTATTTGCCTATTTACTGATATTCTAAATTTGACATTATTAAGGTTGCATACTTTCATACAAATTTTTCAAACATTTAACCCATCACCAATCCCATCGCTATCGAAATTTACGTAAGCTCTCGTCCACCCGTCACTTCCATTACATTGTAACGTCATTTCTATCTTCCGACTTGAGAAGCCATCTCGCCAACGATGGTTTCGTGTTTTATTAATTAGGAAAAACCCCATTTGGAGAATAATGAATCACCCAGTTCGTGACAACCGCCTTGCCTGCGCGGTCTCCTCATCATCAAAGGCTCATCAGAATAAAAAAAAAGAATCATTCTGCAATGCATTTCATCTTCGTGGAATTCTCTCACTCTCACAATTCAATCACTCAGTTTGATTTAATACAATTCAATTAAAAAAAATTCTATCGCGCTACCCCGATCCAAAACGTGTCCATATTTCACTAACGGCGACCCATCGTCACATATTTGTTTTGTTTCGTTTCGTTCTTGGCCGATCTCTCCAACAACGTGATGGTGATTTATGGGACGAACGATCATAACAACAGCATGTATCAGCAACAATTAGCGCACCAGAATGCTCTGTTCAATTCCATTCGTCAGCAGCAGGCGGCATTTGCCGGAGCTGGAGCTGGAGCCGGAGCCGGGTACGGTGCCGGTGTAGGAGCTGGTGGCGGTAGCTTTGGTGGTGCACCTGGATTTGCTGGATCATCGGCTTCCTATGGTCCGGGAGGGTTCCACCAGACGGCGCACATCTATCCGGAAAATCCGGTTTGTTTTGAACTAGAAACGGCGTGAATTGGGTTTTGTTAATTGTATTTTATTTTTATTTTTAGCAAGCGCCAAACATTAATACCCGTTTCGGTGGCAGCTCGCAGCCGGGTGGACCAGGTATGAAATCCCTTACTAGTATTTCGATTATCGATCAGTAGTTAGTTCGTTATAGGAATCGCTACCCTAGCTTCATTTATGACACCATCCAGTTGACTGTTGACTGAGGGGTTGCCTAACGATAGGCGAAACTCGAGTAGCATGGTGTAAAGCGTTCGCTATTGAACGTTTCCAGGCCAAATAGTCAACAAAAAATAATTCAGACTTGACCTTCTCTGATTTGCGTAAAACTTTGCATAATTGTTTGTAACGTGATCAATAGTTTACACTTGAGCTAAATTTCGGCCATTTTAAATCATGTAAAAAAAATCTAAATGGCGTATTCGATATTTTCAACAAATTATAACTCGAAAACGTTACTTCAATCAAAGTAATCCGGATAAAACCCTTAATCAGAAAAAAATAAATTGAATTGACGTCTGAGTCAAAGTTTTAAAAAACATACCGTTCCGATTCAAATTTCGGACGATTCAAATTTCGGACACTTTCATTTTTAATTAAATATTACATCCAGTTAGAAACAAAGTAATAATGTTAGATGATCGTGGAGGGCACTAGTCAAAAAAATTTAAAATTTACAAGACATGTGGATCATATTCGACCGAGATAATCAACTTTTAAAAGTGTCTGAAATTCGAGTTTAAGTGTCCGAAATTTGAATCGGCACGGTAATTCCTTTTCAGGGAAAATAAACAATGTAAAAAAGTTCGAGTAATTCAAGAAACAAAATTCAAAAGGGTGTTTAAAAAATTAAATAGTCTTTGTAAAATAGGTCATTTAATAAATTTAATTTTTAAACAAGGAAACTTGAAAATTAACATAAAAATAGAACAACAACATTTGGTAAAAAATTGAACCTTTTTGTTTACACATTTTTTTTTAAATCTTGTTGAGAAAAAAACGATACATTAGACTTAAAAAATTGTGCAAAGTTTCACAAAAAAATTGAACAGACAAAAAGTTTAAAAATTTATCCACATGTTCAAAGCTGTTGATCTATGATTTTTGTTAGTTTACAAATGGATATATAACATAAGTTAGAAATTTTCATGAGCTTTTCAATATATTTTTTTAACATTAAATAAGGTTAGCTTCTATTGATTAAGTTGTAAACTCTTTTTTTTTTGGTTTCTACATAAAATTACTTAATTTTATTACCAGTGTAATAAGTATGTTTCCCTATATCTTTGACTCAGAATTCATATAGAGGAAATGTCTCTAATGTTGGCCTATGGATCTAAGATTGGGCCCATCGCTAAAAATCTGCTATTTATCAATTGTATCTAGATGAACGCGTTATTGGGACGTTATATTTTTGAAAATTTAGTCGATTGCTGAATTTGTGTATGTGCCCAAATTAGGGACACTTAGGCCAACATTACCTACATTTCTCCTTTATTGAAGTGACGTTTTCGAGTTTTTATTTGTAGAAACCTCAGATGTGAATTATTGACCTTAACACATAATTCACAAAATTCATGCACATCGGAAACGGCGGCGTCAGACCGATTCGTCATTTGGCGTGGAAGTGCTCTATTTAGTCATTCACCTAAGGATTTAACGGTTTAATTTAGTGGTGCAGATCCATCGTTTACTAACAAAATCACAATCTATGTACTAATTTTCACTTTTTTTGTCAACCATTCCAGGATATGTCGGTGTATCGAGCTTCTCGTCATCCTCCAACATCAACGGCCAATCACACCGCGAGGCGGCAACATCGGTTAACGACAATGGTAAGGTCACCTCCTACCATGTCCGTTCGTAAAAAGGAACAAGGCAACACGTAAAGAAGATAATAAAACTATGATTTAGAATTTGTCATACACGTGCCTTGACAAGAAAACGATAAGTGATGAAAGAATATTACAGGCATTTGCTGCTAGAGCATTTGCTATTCATTCATGAGAGGTGAAACTCAATAAACTTTACGAAGACATTCCAGTGTACTTACAACTAGCAAGTAGACAAGTTTAAGTACGAACTCTATTTAAATAAGACTTTTTGACCAGAAACATGAACAATGTCATAGAATATATTTGTCCGAAACTCCTCTCAAGATACTCATAGATAATTGGGCAATAAACGAGTTATTGCTTTGATTATTTTAAACAGTACACAGCAAAAAAAGTTGTTGAATATTACATCGAAACTGCTGCAACCAGGTCAATCCATCGGTTGTGTAATATCACATTGTACGATGTACATCGATTTTGCGAACAAAATTACATCCATTGATGTAATATTGTATCTGCTTTTTGCTATTACATCATTATTTCATACATCGGCTTGAATTACGTTGATCGATATTACTTTTTTTTTTGCTGTGTATAATATAACTGAAACGTATTCTATGACTGTCAAATCGGGTAGTTCCAAACATCTAAGTGCTCTACTAAGCTTTGTTTATTTTCATTTTATTTATATGTAATTCACTACACACATGTTTACGAATTTCTCCAATTTTCTCAACCAAGTTGTTTTTTATTCTGAATTTTACTCATTTTTTCACACTAGGGAAGCATATGGAGGCTAGTTGGGAGTGATGACATAGAAAATCTCTTACAAATAAAAAAAAAAAAAAAAAAAAACAAGGAACAGCCCTATGGGGTTGTATGCAACGGTGACGTAGGACTGCGTGGTCTTATATAATACATCTTATTTGTTAACTGCAGCAGGAGCTTGTGTTTTGTGTAAGAATAGGAATTTGAGCGGGGTTCTCTCTGTTAATAATCTTTAGTATGACTTTAGTATGATGCGTTTGACATAGAAGACCCACAGTGACTCACGAAAAGCTATTGATGTCGATCAATAGCGGTGCGGCTTCTTCCTCCTTTTATGGTTGCTCATGTGGACTGCAGCTTGCTGCTTGCAGGCAGCCTTTCGTTGTGTACTGAAGAACACCACAACCGGATGGTGACCGGTTGGAATTCAACTTTGAAATCTGTGTTTGGGAAATCGATTTTCGCAGGCCATCGATGATAATTTTTTGACATTAAAAAAAAAAAATCAAAGTTCAGGCATGTAACGAAAAATCCCAAACATGGCCGCAACGATAGAGCACAAATCGAACACACGACACATTGCATATGCTCACATGAACCAGAGACGTTGAATAGAGACACGCATAGACTGAAGCAAGAAGAACCAAACGAACCGTCAAACGCTGAACCAAACGAGCAAAGTAAATAAACATTACTGTTCGCTCAATTCACCAGAAAGAAGTATTGTTTTCAATGATGAAAAAAGTATTTAATTATTTTCACGAAATATTTTATATCTGTTATATTTTTATTTATTGTTCATTCAAATAAATACAACATTTATTGATGATTCAAAACTATTTAGAATCAGAACGTTTAATTTAGTTTTATGGTAATAAAAATGATTGCACTGCAAGCAAACAGTAAAATATGACAAAAGTTATAGTGTCATGGAACGACTGACAGACTTATTTGTACGGCTTATGGATTCTCAGCCTAAAGGTAACGAAACGCTTTATTCAGTTCCGGTCGAACGTACAAATTTTCTCAACAGCATTGCGGCACTCTTTGAAAGTCACTTGAAACCGCTCGAAGAAACATGGTTGCCAGTGACATTGCCAAAAGATCCCTCAAAAACCGTGCTGCTATTTTGACAGAAATTTTCTTTGCGCGTCTCTATCAACGTCTCTGACATGAACGAGCTCAAAACTCGGTTGACGCTCACCATCAGCGTTGCCAGTATTCCAGATTTATCTGGATTTTCCAGATTTTCTATCGTCTTGCCAGATACACAGACAGAACACGTATATTTCCAGATTTTTAAAATATAATCCAGATTTTTTCAGATTTTTAAAATGTGTTGCTTATTAAAGGCCATTATTTATTAAAGGCCATCTACGTTTCACATTATTTTAAAAATTTATTAATTACATTTAACAAGGAATTTTAACAACATGTTGGCAATGGGTTGCAGAATCATGAAAATTGAGACATTTTTCTAAAGATTATTGGTTGAAAAAAATCATTAAATTTTTTTAAATATCGGGCGAGGATTTTTTTTATTTGGATTTTTTGTTTAAATTTTGACTATTATTTTTTTTTTTTGAATCCTGGATTTATAAAAATCAAAATTTCAATATAGAGAAATTTTCCTAATTTTAGAATTTAGAGAAATCGAAAACTGTTCAGGATTGAAAACAATAAATTGAGCTTTAGAAAATTAGCAAGGCTTTTGAATCTAGACAACCACCAGGACTTTAAAGTTTGCTCTTAATATTTTTGAGGATAATTAATTAGATTTTTGATGAGAATTTTAAAGGCATCTGATAATTTTTAGCATTTTTTAAAGTACCTGTGAACATTGAGTTACCTTAGCAGTCTGAAATACTTTAGAATTCTGAATTGCCCTAGATTTCATAATTTTAAAGTTATTCTGAAAATAGTTTACAGTGAAGTGGAGAGTGCAGTCTGTGCAACCTCTGGTTGAAGACGGTGTCAATTGTCTTTTAAAAACTCTGATGATAATTGCATGGAGATTTTGTGAAGAAAGGAAATAGTTAGAATTCGGAAGAGAAAGCATAGAACATTCTAAATATGAAATTTAATAGAATAGTTTCAATGGAATTCTGTCCAATTTTTCTATGGAGATTCATTTTTATAAAATTTTAAGAAATCTTGCAATTTCTGAGAGACTTTCAAGGCCATTTTGGAAAAGTACTGAAGGGGCAAATACTGTAGGAGATTTCAAAACAATTCTGACGTTACCTACAAAGCAGTCCAAAGCATAGGTCTGAAAAAATGTGACGGTCATTCTAAAGAGAGCGTATCAAGGAAATTATTAAGAACATTCTAAGGGCATTTCATATAGAAAAATTGAGACAAAATTATACCAATTCTTGGACATTATTAACAGTTTGAGGGAATTGTGGAGTCAGATAACGTTTGGATATTATCAAGATTAGTTTAGGGGAATCCAGAAAAGAAGTATGATGGAATTCTAGGATAATCCAAATTGAACTCTGAAAAAGGACGAAGTTATCCTGTGAAGAGTTCCAAGTAAATTCAGACTAACAAAAAATTCATGATCTGGGACCCAGGAAAATATAAATTTCAGAATTTAGAATCATTTCCGGATCCTGAAACTTAAAAAAAGACGCTTTCAGACTATCATTTTAGTTATATAATAACATTATTTTTTAGCATAAATTTTTTTGCATTGGTCATGTGAAGCTACCCGTAGTTAAGGTAAACTGTGTGTGAGTACCACGATGTTAGTTGTTCTTCATACAGGAGAATTTTAGTTTAAAATAAAATTGCCTACTGGTCTACCGGGTGTTGTGAGTTGTATGATGTCAAGAATTAAATTGCAAGTCTGATCAACCTCAGGGTAATATTAGAATTATTTAGAACTAATAAAATCTTTAAGACATATTCTGGTACTGCATCAAATAGTTGGGACTAAATCGTCTATTAGTTATAAAAATCATCCCATCAAAGTTGCTTGATTCTTTGCTGCTTTAGAATCCTAAAAATATGTTCTGCAGTATTTTACCAAAAATTTAAATCAATTTTGAAATGCTACGTAATGGATGCTTAAAATTTTTGGGTACACTGTGTCAATACTTTTCTTCACTTTTAGATGATTTTAGCAATGCTAATAAATTCCAGATAATCAAACTGACCGATTTTTACGAGAGATCAGCACATCAAAAACAGGATCTTTTGGAGCATTCCAGATTTTTCCAGATTTTATATTTTAACTGATCCAGATTTTTCTGAAAATGACCTGGCAACGCTGCTCACCATTTCACCAATGAAAGGAAGGAAGGAGAAAAGCAGTGATAATAAAATCGCTTACCATATCCTTTTCTTCGTCATTTGCTTTCGAGCAACGGACGGATATGCGTCGGACACCTAGGCGGAAAATAGAAAGGTGACACAGTAGGAAGAAGTGTTAGTTTGTTTACTAAAATGAACTATTCCCATTTTGTTATGGCAAGTTTTGCTATAAGAAATGCTCCTCGTGTTTATTAAAGAAATTCACACCAAAGGTTGATTTATTGCGTAGGAAATCAGTTTGACACGGCATTTGTGACCAGCATACATTTTCCGGTGGTATGAAGCAGGTCGGGGCTTCCCTTAGCTCAGTCGGTAAAGGCACAGCTACAAAGCAAGACCATGCATGCTGGAGGCGGCTGGGTTCGATTCCCGGTCCGGTCTAGGAATTTTTCGGGTTGGAAAATTTCTCGACTTCCCTGGGCATAGAAGTATGATTGGACTTGCCACACAATCATATCAATGCAAAAATGGTACAGGCATCGAAAGCTCTCAATTAATAACTGTGGAAGTGCATCTAGAACACTAAGTTGAGAGCACGCAATAAGCTAATATGCGATATGCAATAAGCTTAAAATGCGAAGAAGAAGAAGAAGAAGAAGCAGGTCAAAAACTGTCCAAATCCGCCAATACATTTTTTTGTTTTGAATTTCTGTATGGCAAAATAGTGAACTTTTCGTGAATATTAACGGCAAAGAACTCACCAACACCTGGAGACCGTGAGTTCCTGCCCACCTATCATATCTCCATCTCGGTTGGACACAACGTATGTGTAGAACAGCATTCGCTAACACTTCTTCCTACACACTAAAAAAATCTGAATTTTACTGGTGATGTAAACATCCATGCATGCAAACATTCATACATGTAAACTTCCTTTTCACGTAAACTAGCAGCTTGCAAGAAATGTTGCAAACAAAGGTGGAAAGTTGCATACAATATATGGAATATTGCATAACATGTCTCATAAATTTACACGATTTATAATGTAAATTTGTATGATTTATGACGCTCCATTTATGTGCATCATAGTAACGGAAATTTACACTACTTTTTTTTAGCTGTGGACTGTGTCACCTTTCTATTTTCCGCCTAGGAACAGCATGCATCGCACCAATACGAAGACGATGACGACGACGAAAACACCCATATCGACCGGAGGAAAGGCTTCCCGCAAGAGGCAGCATACTAGGCCG